AAGCTGTAGCTTGTGAAATATAATTAATATCCACCATTACCATTTTATGCAATTTTGATGTACCTACCCAGGGTCACTTGCATTGTTAAGACGAGTCTAACCTCCAATGTCAAAGTCCATCTCGCCTGGTGCAGTATGGTATCGTTGGTACGCCCTATTGGTGGATTCATCCCTTCTCCCCAATCGAACACAATATGCATGTCTATCTCATAATGGTAACAACCTTATTTCAGAAGTAAGGTCTGGGTCAGTTAAAATAAATATGGGCATTCCCCAGAGCTCAATTTTAGGCCCAGTGTTAATCACATTGTACATATATATAAATAAAATCAAGCAGTACCTAATAAGGTCGACCATGTTTTACAAAATGAGTGCGAGCATCTATTCAATGGAGTTTATCGATGGTTTTTCAAACTCTGCCTTCATTTGAATTTAGATAAAACATCGATAGTAAGATTTCACAATGTGCAAAAAAATTGGTACTGCTAGATTTACAACAATTTGGCTTTGGACATTTCAGGCAATAAGAAATTCTTGGGATTATACTCTGACTAGTGTAGATATGTGATTTCAAAGTTGATTTCCAAATCATATGTTTTTAAAAATCTACGCACCACTTCAACAGACCGCAAACAAGTGCAAGTCGCGTAAGGCTGAGGTATGTCTTATGCTTTTGGGGCGTCTCCACTAATGCACGTGACGTCCTGCTCAGTCAAAAAACGAGCTGTAAGCTGAATGACCGGGTGGATGCAACTCACAGCTGCAACAAACTTTTCCGTCGTCATAGAATTCTGACGTTGCCGTCTCTATTTATCTTAGCTATGGCAATATATACAATGTGTTTGGTCACGACATACCGATATTTAAGAGGGGTATTTTTCAGCTATTTTTATCGACAAACCCACCTACCTACAATATGTCATATAATGATAAATTTGGTGTCATATGAACGATGACGGGTTGTCCTAGCGATTACTGAAAAACTTGTATTGATACTAACCGTCAAACATACTTAAAAACAGACAAAGACAGAAAAAAATATGGAAGAAAATTGATTATTTTGTGCATTTCCGCACACCATTCAAAAACTAATCTGTGAAGTTGTATTTTTTTTGTGCTAATTCTGCAGCTTTTTGTTATCCTAAGTATTCTACGTTAAGGCGGCTCCGACGCAGTGAGTTTCAAGCCATTTACAAGAGTTCAGCTGCTTCAAAACTGACACTCCATTTTTCAATATTTTTAAACGAAATTCATACAGTATGTTGAGAAGATAATTGCCCAGGGTGCTATATGAGCATTTTTTGAAATTTTGTTTTTGCACAAGTTTTATGATGGGTTGAAGTGCGCACTTTTTCTGTTAAACTTCGCGATTTTTTTAAAAAGAACCTAGTGAAAAAATGAAAAGGGGCTCTATAGCACCCTGTGGGGTTTTGTTTTCAGCACTCTGTGAAAATTTCACCCAAAAATATCAAAAAACAAAGCGTCAATGTCGAAGCGCGCAAACCTCTACAAATCGTATTTTGGACGAATTTTTTGGCGCAATGTACATACTAAGAAAGGACGTATTCAGATAATTTGGTGGCCCTATTTCATATAATATCTCGTAGATAAGTCGTTCTGCAAATATCTACTCATAATCGCGATCACTGATACTCCTCGATTTTAAAGCCGTTTTACTTCGCACGTCATTGGCAACGAAGTATTGTAATCGCGAAAAATTTCCAAAATGAGATTTTATGTTTTTTAAGTCATATGACATCTACATCATGAAAAACTGTATCACTCATCATCAACTTGGAAATTACCGCTCGGATTTTTATGAATTTTCCACACGCGGTTACTAGTATGCCAAAGCTTTGTATTTTTAGTCCAGTGGCAACGGTGTTATAGGCAAAAAAGAAAAAGTAACAATTGCTGAAACTCCGCTTTTGACGTTTCAGAGGTTCATAATCATTGACATAAAAAAATTGTACTGCTTAAAAAGGGGTGGTTGAAATCAGTGAAACACGTTCTATTACTAAGAAGCTTCTGATCCCAGTGATTACAGGAAATTTAAGTATCGAAGGTCCGACGAATAATGTGCTCACGATTTAAAAAAAATCGGTACCTGCTCTATATAGGTTTGACACCAACAGCCAACAGATCTGCAACTACCGACAGTAGGGAAGAATAGATTCGAATACCACTCCAGTCACGTATAGGGAATTTAGCGTCGAACTTTAAAATTATCGATATGTCAAGGAAATATGTTTTCGAGAACGATCATTTGGTAGATTTTATACCTACATTTTCATTTGAATTTCATAACCCGTGAAATGTACGCGTTTCGCCGTTACCTTTTGTGTTCTGCAGTTTGTGATGTTTTTCTGGATATAAGCAGGCCATAATTGCCTAGGGTGCTATCAGAGCTTTTTTATTAGGAAATAATAAAAAGTAAGCTGTGAAGTGCAAATCGGTTTCTGGGAGAAATTCCTCTACTGTTTCGTCCTGCCAGTCCAAGCGACGCGACGGTGCGCTCCGACTAAGAAAAAATGTATTCAAAGAATTTTATATCTTTCCTAAAATAAAATCAAGAACTCAAATTCTAATTATGTTTACAAGGGTCGTGTGGTAGATGGTAACAATTGAACGAGGGTCATAAAAATGTCTTATGCCGTCAAAATAAGAGGAAACAGTTAGGTAGTTTTTGCAAAGCAATAAACAGGTAGGCTTTACCTGGATTAAGTACATGTCTTGTCTACTGTAATAGGTAGATGGAAGTGATGCTGCCAGAAATGGATGTGTCCGATCAATAAACAAATCACAAGATTGAACTGCCGTATCCAATGATTTTTGTATTGCCTTTTTTTATTGCCTTACTAGAAAACCCTGTTGGGTATATGATGGAGTTTACTAGAACTTTACAGCTTGTTGTCTATACTTACATACATACACACGCTACACACGCTTTCCTGGATAAATCCTAATAGTATAGTATATCAGCTTGAGACTTGGACCCACGGTACCCTGCGAGTAGTTAACTTTAACAGCAGCAAAACTGTAGCTAAATTACCGCTTTGCCAACACTATCCGCAACTAAAAACATGAAAGGTATTTACGCCAGTGACCCGACTATCCGTAGCCTGTAAACTTGGCTGCTGCTTTGGTAGGAAAATTACGTCAGCCAGACCGCGCTGCAAATGGATAAATTGCCGCATTAGAGCCCGGGCATCATGCAAAATTAACTATACTTTAACACACTTTCCACAAAAGGCCTATTCCGGCATGGTACAATATCATTATGATAATAAATAGTAGTAGTGCACCCCTCAAAGCGCTCTTGATTATTTAATTTGCCATATGGTCGGTACACTATGCCAACCAACGCTCTTCGACAGCTGCATCACCAGGACCGCACTACTGTCGGATAGGAGCTGCAGGTGTCCCAATATGGAAGTGTCTTGGAAGGTAAGACCTCGTTCAGAAACAACTACGTTTGAAATAATAAGTTGCGTTAAGCCGCACCGAACGCATAAAAATGCTATCAATTTTGTACTGAGTTTCAGGTACTGCACTGTCACATGTTTTGGTTGTGAATAGTGCTTGAAATTGTCGCTGTTTACACCTTGCGGTGCCTGATATCTTTTCGAGGAGCAGGTGGACAGATAGGCAGGATCGGGCTGGCCCGCTTAGAGCTTTTCGGATCTCAATCTTTGGTTATCTTAAGGCTTTGGTACTTTGGTATATTTGTTACTAAGGGTCGTATCGTCAATCGTTCCTACAATTATAGGACTCCTTTGTATGGCCCTTAGATAATACCAGATAATAAACCTCAAAAAGCAATTTTCAATACCACATTCACCCTAAGGGGTAAAATGAGTTGTTGCGGATGACACGACAGACGAATATCAAGTGTGACGAAGTGTACAGAATACAATAATTCAGGCGTAGAAGTGCCATTGCTGCATCAACAACTACATGTAAGTTAACCACAAATTGAAATACATATTTTTGGGCAACTTATAGTTAACTTCCAAGAAGTGGTTACCCAACTTGAAAGATAACAGAAAAGCTAGGCCTTATGATCACGATACATTAATAAGATCTCCAACCATGTGGTTGGAGCGCCAACTAGTGGGAGCAGAATTGGACGTGGCGGCCATTAGCGAGAAAGATGGGATGAGGTATTTATTGTATATTTTACATGTAAGTATAACTGGAATTTCTACTTCTGCTATGCCAGGGACAAAAAATATAACACTTGAGTGATGCAGATCTCTTTGAGCAACAGACATTTTGTGAACTGAACTTCGAATATTATTGCGAGCTCAATACTTCCATCGCTTAGGTGGTCGTAGATTTAGAAAATTTGCTCAGGAGCGGCGAAACTACGGACAAAAAGACCATGTTACAACGCTTCAGATCCTGCCCATTTCCAGACTTTGATTGGAGGAGATAAAAATTGTAAGTTGTGTGCAGAAAATGGTTGTAAATTGCTGCAACTTTGGAATCAGTAAAATCAGCAAAATACGCTGCTGGTCCAGTGATACTATGCACCTGTTAGATATATATATATATATATATATATATATTAAGTCACACATATTTTCGCTACATCTGCCATGAAAACAGAAATATGATTAATTTGCTTTAACTAGTTTGATATGCACAGGTCGAAGATCCATCGTCCCTAAGTAAATATGCCCGTTCAATCAATAGCAATCAGTCGACTTGACTCCATTTTTTATATATGGCTGCAGCGAGAAAACCGATCCCAAAGACTCCCAGGACCACTATAAAGCAGTTTATTCTTTTATGTACTTTGAAAAAGGACACCGGGGAGGCCGAAGTGTTAGTGAATCTTCACTCAACATCTGTGGTTTCATTTAACGGCAAGTAGGATATGAAGATTCTAAGGAGTTTAAATCATCCCATTGAGTTTAAAATTGATAGAACCTAGGAAAGCCTCGTCTGGTAGACTGCTCAACATTCTCAAAGTCATGGGAACAATGGAGCTGAGATTTTCGATTTTTAAATGTTTTATTTTATTGCAATGAACTACAAGTACTACAAAAATACAGATCAACGCCCCCAAGCACCACCGTTGCCTCCTATATCCCCAAACGTTCCATCGTGCCCCCCGTAACTACCGTAGCCCCCTGAAAAACATCCTCCACACTGCTGAAAGCCCTGGTATGACTCGAAGAAGTTGTTGTTGCATCCCATGCAATTTACTGGCATTTCTATGCAGCTGTTTTGTCCAAAACACATGGGTCTGAAGCCCCAGGATTTTCTTCGACAACCATTGTAGCAGGGATTGACAGGTTCATACATCATATTACCTGTAACAAGCAGGGGCTTATAGCATATTTTATCTAGTAACAGGTATTAAAAGCTACTCGAAACGGAACGTACTCAAGTCCACGAGCAATATCAATGACGTCACTCCTCTGTATGACAAGACATTTGACGTTATGGTCTACTGAGGCAAATTGCAGGACGGAAGCAACGAGATTGAATAATTAAAAATATGATGGTTTATTTTATTAAATTTAAGTGCAACATAATGCTCCGAACAGATTCTTCTAAAACGGTAGTCAAATACACTTATTTTGCTCTCATTTTTCAAACATGTCACGAAAAATGTTTCTCACGAAAATCATGTGGTTCGGTACAACATACCTACTGAAGCAAAGCTAGAAGAGATCAATAAATCAATAAAGTAATTATAGCAAAAAAATATGAAATATGGATTGTTCTCAAATTACATATACCGATTTGAATGAAACTTTGTGATGCTCAAGAGCAGAATATAACGATGTTTTCAAATAATAATGATAATATCATACAGTACACCAGGAAGATAGTATTTAAATAAAGCGCTTGCGTAAATTGCATTTTAATTATAGTTGCATGTATCACCCAGGTCGCAAAGAGTTATGTTACAGGATACAGTCAATGCGGAAATTACAAAATGCTCATAGTAATATTATGTATTTCTTTCAATTCTTACTTCTACTCACTCATAAGTGGAGCAGATAAAGTCTATATGATGTTCGAAACCAGCATAGGGTAGCTCTGGATGTTGAGAGTAGTAATGTAAGAAAGAGAAAAGAGATACTTGGTTGGATCATCTTCAAAATAAAATTTACAGTATTGTCTATTCTTCCCAGATTTGTAATTGCCGAAAAAAATTGCCGATATCGGTAGAATTAGTAATTTCAAATAATTATAAATCTGAAGACCGCATCAGACGTAACTCAATCACACAACTTTTTTCAAATCTAGCCAACATTGCCCATCATCGAGATCCTCAGCTGTTTTACTGCTTAGAAGCAAAATTGACAATAGCTTTTTTTTTGGTAGAATTATATGTTACCTTCAAAATTCTTTGCGTATCTATGCGTACTTTGTAATGCGGGCATTAATCACATAGTACATTCAAACATCCAACGACCATAATACTACAGAGGAATCCATTTGTTATTGGAGTATATATGAGCAATTTAAACACGATCCATATTTAACAATTTTTGCAATAACTTTTCTATTTAATTTGATTTTTTTACCTTAATTTGTGTTGGCTTTTTCTCACTAGGTCTGTAATCAAAAACTAGACAACCTTTATGTGAAACATTATTTCGTGAAAGCTTCACTTAAAAAGATCAGAGCAAAGAATGGTTCTAGACTACTTTTCACCACCATCTCTATGAAAACTGCAGATAAGGAACTGTTTCTTTTTGATGCATGTTAATTACCGTATTTTTACTTGAATTTTATGTATTGTCGCGTCTGTACTTTAATGTTGACACATGCAAACTTAATTTGTTTAGAGAAAGTTTGAAGGTGATACGCTTATTCCTGCCTAGCACGTTCATTATTAGTCTAAATGCCTATGTATTACAAAAAATACAAATTTTCACTTTTTTATCTTGAATCCTGGCAAGTTTTTTCTCATGGCGATGCCGATTGCAAGAGGAAATTCAACAAATATAAGCTGACATTTTTCATAGGAAAATTTTCTCTGGACTCAGCAGTTCAGTTTCTGATTGGAGGCCAGCTTTTCAAACTAGGCTATTAGAGACTTGCCTTACCAGGACACCCTGGCAACGTCGCCAGATGTAGATGAACTACCCTGTCTAAAGAACCAGGCAATTCTTATGGAAATTGGACTTACGTTAATATAATTGAGTTTCTGACATGTTACATATTTCACCGTCCTGAACAAATGTCTAAATAAGCTCAACTTCCTGAGCCCAAAGCGTTGTGAGGTAAAAACGTTGAAGTTGAACTATCATCTTAGGTTATAAAGTACATAGCGCATTCACCATTTTTTTTGGGTCAAGTATTCCGTCGGCCAGATTATTGGGAACTCGAAAAAGATACAATATCAAGGTCTGGAAGTAACTTTACATCAATTTTTAAGACACAAACTTCCAAATTAACTTAATACCTAACCTCGGAATATTTACGCGACCATGCAAAATGATAAAAGGCATATTCACGAGACAACAGTTCCATCATCCGCTTATATCCACTTATATGCCAAGACATTTCTCCAAGACGTCCAACCTTATGCTGTTAGCAAGGTAACTAGATATATTTAAGAATTTATCAAATCAGATGGCAACATCATGATCATGAAGTGAAATAGAATATTTTGGTATATACTATACATGGAAAACCAATTTTGTCTGACGGCTTGAGTTCAATGTGAACGTGAGAGAAGCGCGCAAAGTGTGCATCAACACATGCTAGAAAGAGATAGAAGCCGCTGAAGAGCAAAGGTCTTCACCACATTACCAAGCAACGGTGACGCAGGAGGTCGTGCAATCTGCCGCGTTGCCAATATGTTACACCAGAAAAAGTCCGTATATATAAGGCTGCTGCGATAGGTTAGGTTACTGTCAAGCACAAGAAGGAGGTCTGTTCTAACATTAAATTTAATATTTTGTTTTCATTTCGCTTTGAATTATTCATTTTAATTTTGAAATGACTTAGTGTTTTAATTTGTTTGACAGTTATCTTTGATTTTCAGCGATGTTGACAAAATCAACAGATCCGCAGCGCTGTCACAAAATGTAACAAATAACGTTATGCAATACAAGTTATCTCTGCCTGTGTACGCAGCGCTAGAAGGGCACTGCCCAAAATCGTTCAACCATGATCATGGAGGGGGAAACCTTGCCTTGGAATGTACAAGATGCGATGCTTTCAAACGAACCAATGATTCAACCTTGCAGAATTTGTGGCAATCCTTGGCTTTCATTTTGACCTAAAACAGATTCAACTCAATTCACAAAAATGCGTACGCACAAAATAAAGTCACTACTTAGGCGTAAATAATTAACTAATGCATATTTTTATAACATGAGCTCCGCTATTCAGATGGCTTCTATCTCTTTCTAACATGTTTATGTTTCTATACAAACTTCTCTCTCGTACACATTGAACTCAAGCTGCCAGACAAATCTGGTTCTCAGTGTATAGTGTTAGTATTGGAGGAAATTCTATACATATCTAGTCTGAGATGGCCAATATTGATCTCATCCTGGTCTTTTTCTCAACCTAGGCCTATAATGCAATAACTGCGTCAGATAAGTTGGAGAATTGAGGTTTCAATGCATACTCTTCAGTAACTTTTTGATAAAACAAAAACCAGCAGGTAGGTATAAAGTTTTCAAATTAACTATGAAGGTGCTGTAAATACGGTCATTAAAATTGAAGATCAGGGTCAAACGATAATAGCATATCAACACCATATATAGTCGAAATCACGAAAGATGGGGATTACGTCATCAATTTATTATGTAGTAAACACAAACGACAGTGATTTGTGAACATTTTTAATGAAGTTTCAGATATGCTAGACAGAGACAAACAGAATTTTATTGTCTGAACAAACTGTATCGCTAATTTGCACGCATCCGACAAAGATAGAGGATATTTCATGATGCATGATCGATCATATTTGAAAGATGGATAGTTAGGTTATATTAAAGCTGGTTAGGTTCTTTTCGAATGATACTTTGGTCTGTGGTGTTCCCGTCTTATGGTATTCTACTCATTACCGTTTTTTTCAAAACAAAACTCCCCACTAAAATTATTATTAAGGTATCACTCAAGACTATGAAATAAAATGAAAATAAAAATAGTCGGTGAAATAACTTAACTTCGCAAAATCATAATATAAATTTATTGACAATATATTCCTGATATCGTGATTTTATCATCGACGTACGTCCATTGTTACTTCAGTACAATCTATGGCATGACATAATAGTCATCTTTCATGATTTTGACTATAGTGAGCGGGCTTTTCTGTTATCATAGGTGGTACAGCATTAAATGTAAATATTGACATTACTGGTATTAGCTGCCAGGCTAACAGATAATTCTTATGATTTTCTTCAGAAACATTTTAATATTATATATCATCTATTTCGGGCTCATTATTATCAGTTGCATGGTACCTCCTTTATCTTGGGATCAGTGGTGACGGAGGCCAAAATCGTCACCACATCAGAGAGCTGTCATGTATACTAAGTGACTTATAAATCCGAATACCCAGTTTAAATGGTTTTATCTTAATAAAAGTTGGTGAATGTATTTATCTTACTGTAAATAACAAGTGAAAAAATTTTCAGCCTTATCAGCTGGACATTCCGGTTTTTATACTGCTTTTTTTTAGTTCACTAACGCTCTAAAAATGAATATTTCAGCCGCAGTAAAGAACCAACGTTGGCGGATTTTGGTTCTTGACATCCCTTACGATCGGTTACGATGCCTAGAGTACGGAGACCTGTACGATTTCGTCAACTCAGTGAGTTTGATAGGGGCCGTATAGTGGGACTTCGGGAAACTGGACTTTCTTTTCGGGCAATTGCAGTTAGACTGCAAAGAAGTGTAGATACTGCGGTTAGGTGTTGTCAGGCATGGCTTCGAGAAGGCCGTACGTAAAGAGCAAGGGGCACTGGACGCCGAGGTAGAACAACAGATCGTGAAGATCGCCGCCTAAGATTATTGGCCTTAAGGGACCGTTTCTCTACTACCAGGTCCATTGCAAATGAATGGTTTGCAGAACACGGAAGACCTATTGGCATGCGAAGTGTTTACCGACGAATGAGAAGTTTTGGCTTGTTTTCATATCGGCCACACTGGGTCCTCCCTTTAACTCGAGAACACCGACGTAATCGCCTTGAGTGGTGCAGACAACGGTCACTCTGGGATCAGGAATGGAACAGTATTGTCTTTAGTGACGAGTCTCGATTTTGTTTAGGCATGCACGATGGTCGTGCCAGGGTTAGAAGGCGACGTGGTGAAAGGAGGAGTCCACAATTTTTTGTTGAAAGACATGTTCATCATGTTGGAGTTATGGTTTGGGGTGCTATAGCTTATGGTTCCATGTCACCTTTAATCTTCATCAGAGGTAACATGAACGCGCAGCGTTATATCCACGAAGTTCTAGAACCCCATCTTTTACCCTAACTTGACACCCTGGCAGATCCAACTTTCCAACAAGATAATGCCCGACCACATGTTGCAAGAGTTACAATAGACTTCTTTCAACATAATGATGTCACATTGTTTCCATGGCCACCAAGATCTCTCGACTTATCCCCAATTGAGCACGTGTGGGATATGATGGGTAGGAGATTGCTCAATTTGCAACGTCCTCCTCAGACTCTAGAAGCACTTCGAGAGGAGTTGGTGGTTGCCTGGAATGAGATACCACAGGAGGACATTGACCACCTGATCAGAAGCATTCCTAGGCGCGTTGGAGAATGCGTAGCACATCAGGGTGCATCCACACATTATTAAAGGTCAAAAGGCTTTAAAGCAGTGCAATCATTTTGAAATTTATATCATTTACTTATTATGCTTCATTAAGTACTTATACCAAATTTTATTAAAATAAAACCATTTAAACTGGGTGTTCGGATTTATATGTCACTTAGTATATTTTAATTGGTTAGGTTGGCTACGTATGCTGGCGGCGCCATCATGGCCTTCGGCAGGGGTATTACGTATCTTGAAAAGTGACATCACGTCATTTTTTTTTGACCACACATAGGTCTTTTATGACATTATGTAGGTTTTTCTTCAAAATGTCAACTTGGACCTAGCTGCCAGTGACTTGATCTGCCCTCGTTCTGTAGCTGTAGGTGTTGCCTAAACGTCATCACGCTTCAGCTATCAATTCTTGGCTCTGATGTGACGTAGCATCTGCTTCAGAGATGTAATTATTGAAGGTCTAAGCTGTAAGCTCTAGTATACTGTAGCTAGCAGGAAACTGCAATGCATAGGTGCACAGACTTGTGTGCTAATAATCTGTGTTGATAATTCCATTGGTTTCTTGTCTCAAATACACTTACTGGAGACGTATGCACAGCTAAAAATAAGGCACTTTTGAGTGAGGCACTGCAAGAATGTTTTAGGTGTGATACGTCATTCCTAATTTTTTGTGATGTGTCGTCTCAGTGATGACTTCCCGTAGTGCTTCTTAAAGTTTTTGAAAACGCAAAAAAAATGGGAAAATCGTAATTGGTAACTTTGAGCATAATCTCTCTTCAGAAAGGACAACACAGATAACCCGTCTGATACAGCTAATATAGTCTACAGTAACACTTTTCTCACATAGCAAATCTTCACATATTTTATACACAGGCAGATCAATAGACACAATCACTACACAATCATCAAGATGCAATCTTGCAACTCCACTAATCCCATTTCTGCCACATCTTCTCAGAAATGTACACTTTAGACTATCTCGGCATTCTGCAATCAACAAAGCATGCTGGGTCATTGAGCCTGTAGTTGAGTTTTTCTCCACAGATGACGCCTTTGGTGACGCTCACAATGCTCATCGCGAGTAAACGGGAAATTAATTATTTGCAAAGTAGGAACGTCCTAGAAAATATCTAGATGGCATTTTTCGGTTCTTTTTGACACTATTTAGATATATACGTAATAACCCTGAGCTTGAGGGAGGGCTCCTATTGATCTACGTACCCAAACATCCAGAACCGCAATGGTTTCGATGAGATTGACAACCGCTGGACACGCATGGTCTGATCACTGTGCAGCAACCAGGTTGCGGAATATGTGGATAGTATGGGATAGGCACAGGGTATCTTTGGTAAACGGGGTAAGGAACTGGGACTGGTATGATGTGAATTCTCGGTTTGGTCGGTGTTGTTGGCTGTCCTGTTGGGTGTGTTGTTGGGCCTGTTGTTGACGATGGCGTTATTGTTGTAGGCGAAGTTGTGGTATGTGGTGTCTGAGGAAGATCAAAATAATTGAGTTTAGTGGAATAGTTGAAGCGTTTGAATAACTGTTATCAAGAAACATAGAGGGCGTCCCAATATTCAGTGAAGAAAGAAGAACCAGTCGGATTTACCTCCGCACAAAAGTGCTTCATTTGTCTGTTAGATGGTGAAAAAGTTTCTCTTTGAAGTACATTTTAAGAACCGATAGTCCGAATGGGACGAAATTTGTAACACATATTTTTTTCTAGACGTTCTAATATTGAGTTTTACGAAAAACGAAGGGTTTGAGAAGGGCGAAAACTGTCGTACCCCTACATAAATTACACTGGTGAACAAAATTGAAATAAGTTTTTGTGACATGGACAATACAAGGTGGTTATTATGTAAAACGTGCCCAAAAAGCCGGAAATAGTGTGTAAGAGTACTAATAAATACTCGAATAAACATTAATCTCAGAATGTTGATGTCGATGTTTTACGGCGATATGTTGCTCCTGAACTATCTCTTAACAATATCCAGTAATAATAAGCAAATTGACATTCCATTTGCCATTTTTCCATAGCAGAAATTTCTTGGTGGAACCGTTCACCATGTCCATCACCTACCGCACCTAAATTTTCCGGAAAAAGATCGAGATGAGAGAATCCAAAAAGTGAATTTTTAGACACATGTTATATTCCATTCCTTTATGAGCATTAATTAGTTCACTCACAATATCGTTATAATTGTCCGCCTTCACCTTGCCTAAAAAATTTGGAGTAACTGATTCCAAAGGAATTCCAAGCTCGTAATTCAGTTTCATTCAGAGCACTGTCAAATACATCATCCTTCATGACTTTCCGTATTTGTGGATCCACAAATATGCCCTCTCTAATTTTTGCCTCACTAAGTATCGGAAATGTTTGTTTTAAATGTAGAAACCCTCTTCCATTTTCGATCTAGAGCTTTCAAAAAATAAATGTTTCATTATTCTGTGAGGTCTTGTTGCCGTTTTCGGTAAAAAGTAATGTTAACATCACCGTGGAGAAGAGTCCATCCTTGACGCTAAAAGTTCTGACCGGGATTTTGACAGATTTAATTTTCGAACTAAGTCATTAAGTTTGCCCAGTGTGATCAAATGCGGCGCTGTTGAACATCCTGGCAGCTCAAACGAAGGATCGGAAATTTTTACGCTTTCTGTACCATCACTTTCAGAATCGGTGGATTCGACTTTTACGTGCAAAGAACAAGATTCTGGTAGAACTGGTACAGAAAGATCATCACTATGCTTAACGGGCCGCAAAGCTGATGGTAAATTAAAATACTTAACAGTATGTTTCGATTTTGGTCCAACACCTTAAATATTTTTGAGGCTAAAATAGCAATCAGTAGTATGGTCTCTCGGTTCTCTCCAAACCACTGATACCGCAAAGGGCATTTTACGATTGTCGCCTCTTAACCAACCTGTTAACAACGTTACACAAGTCTTACAACATACATGATGGGCCCATAGTTTATCTTGGTCGTCAACTTTAATTCGAAAATAAAGTTCGTATGCTTTCAACACAAGGGGAGTGAAAGTAGGTTTTTGGGATTTAAAAGCTAGCTCTCCGCCCACATAACAAAAACTGTTGGCACTATTTACACAATTTCTAGGCATTGTCCATAAAGCTAGTCTCGATCACAATAAACTAAAAACAACACACTGTTTTAACAAAAATTAACAGCACTCAGAACATCTCAGTACTCTTCGACACAGAAAACGTAACTGACTCGGCTGCTATTAGTCTACTAATGACCGCAGTATGCTCTCTAAACATAGAGCTCGCATATAATAAAGAGGAATACACAGGTCTTTACATTATGTATGTGCGTCATCGCATAAACGTTGAGAAATGCAGCAATTTGAGATGTTACGTATTGTAATTCATAAAAGTAAATGTTAATGAATAATTCTGTTTCTAGATTTGATTTAAGGGTCTCAAAATACATAAGATACGCCCAAAAATTGTCATGTCACAGATGCTGTGTTTATCATTGTTATATCAGATTTTTTCGGAAACTCCGATTTTCTTTGTATACATCAGGTCTTTTGAATTGCTTTCTTTGCTAAAAAAACATACCATTTCGGATAGTTAGCGAGAAAAGAATAAGTTGTATCAAGAGGTTCCAAAGCATCTTTTGGAAATCTTAAAAAGAATAGGTTTTCGTGGAAAGATGTATACGTATACTTTAATGGAAAATTATTTATCAAATAGACCGCAATCAGTAAAATTATTAAGCTCGTATAGTAAAGAAATGTTTGTTAAATGTGGTGTTCCACAAGGTACAATTTTGGGTCCTCTGTTATTCAATATTTATTTAAACGATATATTCAAAATTAACAGTACTGGTAAAATAGTCAGTTTTGCAGACGATACTGCTATACTTTATAAAGGCAAGGATTGGAACGACTTAAAAGATATTATCCAAAATGACTTTTGCAAAATTATTCAGTGGTTTAATAACCGAAAATTAACAATTAACTTTACTAAAACTCATTTTTTACCATTTTCATCACTATCTAATCATCTACCAAAATATAACCACCTTCGGTTTAAGGTAAATGATAAAAATATAAAAATCAATACAGTTAATGATACAAAATATTTAGGAATTTATCTAGATCCCCACTTGAGATGGGATGTACATATTTCTCACATACTAAAGAAAATTAGATTCATAGCATATAAAATAAAATTTCTAACCGGTATATTAACTGAATATTATCTACGAATAACATATCAAGCTTTGGTCGAGCCACACATAACATATACCATATGTTATGTATGTAGTGTGGGGTGCTGCATGCACGACATACTTTAACGATTTAGATGTACTTCAAAGAAGAATTTTAAAATCAATGTTAGGCAAATCAAAATTATACCCAACTAATGACTTATATAATGATGCACAAGTATATGATACTAAACAACTTTACTTCTTACATACCATCACTCATTATCACAAAACTATTAGTGAACACGACATAAATAAACATAATCATAAAACCAGATATAAATTACGCGCAAAAAATGTTCCTAAACCAAACAAATCCCTAATGAAACGATGTCACCTGTATATAGCTCCAAAATTGTACGAACATTTACCAAATAATTTAAAACAATTACGCAATACATTAGGCTTCAAAGAAAAATTAAAAAAATTTATTAACACGATTGGGAGAAATCAAATTAATAAAATAATCTCAAATATTACACAATAAATGCTCTACCATTCTTACCAATAATTTCTTTTTTCTCTCTATTTTATTATATTTTGCAATTCAACATACATATGATCCATGCACAGGCGTTGTCCTCCTATGGATATATTATATTTATTTACTCGTTTCATGTTCCCTGTATTTTAGAGTAAATAAATATTATTATTATTATTATTATTATTATTATCTTATTAACTCTTTAATTGTAGTTAGTGACAATAAACAAGTATGATATTACTTATTACAATTTTATTCTATATATAGGTAGATAATAGTACGAGCCTTTTGTAAAAGGTCCTCAATATGACCACTACGTTCGTTCCTGCACATAACAATATGGCGCAAAACAATTTAACGTTTGATGTAATGAGTTTTTTCTTAGAAACCAGTTCTGTAAAACACACTTTTTCTTGGAAACTCTGCGAGATGACCTATTCTTATAAAAAGCAAAAAAATGAAGGTCATAAAAAGATCTTTCAAATGAATAAATTTGGCCACGTTGAAAGAGTTATGAATAATTTGAATAACTTGATTTTTTGGCAATCATGTAGTTTTTTCGGTTTCTTTGTGAAAGTCAATTAATTAGGACGTGCATATTTCATTCAAATCGGACTAAAACTATGTGTATAAAAAGAAAACTTTGATGTCATCTAACGGACAAACGAATCAGTCTTGAACAGAGGTAAATCATGTCCAAACGGATTATTTTGAGTCTAAAAATACCTGGTACTTCACGGAATATTTTGACAATAAAGTTTCACTAGCAGACGCTTTAGTCAACACTTAGCAGTATTCCTGGTTTGGGCTCTGGATACTCTCGAGTGACGGGTAATGGAAGATCTGTTCTCCTAGTTAGACTGTTAGTTTTGGTGTCAATAGGTGCCAGGTCAGCACTTGAGATGTAAATAAAGAGAGATGACACCTAGCATGCTAAATGGTTTATGGACGTTGGTTGCTCTACTTATGGAACAGAACTAAATAATCCATTCACCCTTCGTTGGGTGTTGTTACGGATTGCTATGTAGACTGATGATAAATATATCCCTAATTAGAATAGAACAATGCTCCATCTGATTCATGTGCTAACAAGAAGAAGGGGCATCGTACCTAGGCTGATATATAACCTATAAGGGTATCTAAGGCTAGGAGAAATGGAGTTTAATGAAGAGATAAATTCAGTGGCATTATCGGACCTTCTGACCTTTGTCAGGAGTACAAGGCAGGTCCTATGAACCATTCCAAAGGAAAAGGAACCACCTAGGTTACCGGAGTCGGTAAAAAATCAGATGGTCCAAGTGCATCTTCTCCCCGTCATTACTACTATTACGGAAAAGTGTCATCAACCAGACCCTTCACCTACTGCAGACAAATGGATGACCGGAGCCACAAATGTACCTGCTGGCTCTTGTTAATGGCTTCTAGTTCTGTGTCCCCTTCGATCATTGTTTTCCTTTAGCCTACACCCATATTTAGTAGTGATGGGCATATTTTTTCTCTTCGGTGTTTTCAATGTACATCCAGTTGGGCCTGATGACGCCAATAAGCAGAAATGTATGTCGCTTACCAATTCTTCTATTTTTGCCTTCGTTTTCTTATTGCGTATATCCTCACGATTGTACTTTGTCTGAGTTTTCGCAAGACTACTTGTCTTTCTTTATATCTTCTTAAATGGCAAGCTCTTTGGTTCATCTTCATCATGATATTGGTTCACTGGTTCACTGCTCTTAGTCGCACAAACCGGGCCCCTTTCAGTAGCATCTACTATCCACTATTCGTTCGAAATTCTTTGAAGTTCACAAAATTAATAAAAGGAAGCAGGGTCCTTCTAGAATTGCTAAAGCTATTGATGCCTTCCAGAATAAAAAGATGGATCGGAACATGGCAGGAAACACAAAATAATTGTATGTCTGCGATTTTTGTATCCAAGGAATTAAAAACTATGTGTCTGTTTTAAACTAAGGCCACGGAAGAGACAAGCTTAACCTAATGTAAGGTTTGTGGACATTACTTGCCTTAATAACAACTTTCACTACAATTTATGAACGTTTAAAGTAAGTGATGCTCAACATTACTAAGTAAACGATGTGTGCTCTTAAAGATTACTTTCAGCTGTTTTTCATATTTTTTGATCAATAACAACTACACTACTACTATCAAACTTACCGGACATTCTGTCGTTCCTGTATCGGTGATGGTGCAGTTTTCCTCACTCACAATGGAGACTGATTGAACATTGGTGTTGTTAATGCTGATTGGAATATAGACTCTGTTTTCAATGTTGATATGGTTGTTTATAGTGACGTCCAAGGTAGCGTTGACATTGTTTTCTACGTTCGTATCACTGGGGCTAAATACATTATAAGAAAGAAAATAAAGAGTTCTAGCAACTGCAAGTATCACATAGGTAAGCGTCAAGTTCCTCATTGTTTTCATATCTAAGTAAGCTGGTACGCGCGTGACAAATGTCGGAAAAGGTTGTTAACGGTTACGTATGGGGTTTTTTGACCACCAAAACTCTTATCTATTAATAAGGATAAAGGCAGTCCCTTAAAATTTGACCATTGAGCACAGAGTATGGTATGTAATCGTGATCCTGGTCAAGGTGGGGTTGCCTCCATCTGAACTAAGTATCATGAGTTTCAAACTGAACTTAGACAATTGTAGCAATTTTTTTATATCTTGGGGATGCTCATTCTCAGATCAGTGTCTGTCAAATTCTGTTCCTCCAAATTTCTTTATGCAACTATCTTGATCCAGCATAGACTTTTCTTCAGTTCTATCTGACCACGTGACCTTTTTGCTAACATACCACTGAAACCTAAACTCAAAAGAGCACAACTATCAATCAGAACCTCCTTCATGGTTGGCTTCATGGAGTAAGCTGAATCGTGATCGTGTGAACTGATCATGTTCTTCGCTGCCTCACTTTTTACTCCATATTCCAGAGAAGAGCCACGAAAGGGAGATCAAAATAGTACCATGCTGTAGTTAGTCTTTTTGTCCCGTAAGGACGTAGCTGAAGGGACCGTTCTTACCAGCAAAGGCACCAATAACCCGCAAGGGTATAACGTAGCTTCAAAAGTTACATTATGTTGTTTTTTGACAGTATGTCGATTTTTGGTGCCATTACGGTAGGTTTTTCAACTTGGAACTAGCTGTCCTTCATGTCATGCTCACTTGTAGCAAGCGCGGAATGCGGTATTTCACTAGCCTTCTTAGCCAAAAACTTGACATTTTATACTTTTTTTCTGGCATTATATAAGTTTTTGACGTAACAACTCTACCGACGTCAACGGTTGCTGGCACTGCCGACGCTGGTGGGCTTAGAGTTGCCCGTCAGCCAAAGAAACTTGTGATCGGTATAAATATGTCATTGTGACAGTTCAGCCAACGATCTTATCTTTCAAAAATCACTGATAATAATTTAATTTTACCTAGGTGGAGGATATGGTGTTGGTATAGGTCCTGGTGATGGCGGATATGGTGTTGGTACAGGTCCTGGTGCTGGCGGATATGGTGTTGAAGGATATGGTGTTGGATAAGGCGCTGGTTTTGGTCTATTACAGCAACAGCTGGAGCAACACGATTGTACACATGCTTGAGTCGTGCAAAAGGCCCTGCAACCTCCACAGCAGTTTTCCTGCTGGCATCCACCTTGACAGCCCTCAGTTTCTCTCAGAGCTAACACGACGAGTACTGCATACCAGAGTACGAGTTTCTAGAAAAAAATTGAGCCATACTAAAGTATCACGCTTTACTTGTTTGTCATTGTAGTAGTATCAAAATCGAAGATAGTGACGTATTGCATCGTACGCCACTGTTAACGCAGTAGAATACGTTAATTTCATTTCGTTTGGCTTATGTTATTATCCATTCGACGTTAAAAATAACGTATTCCAAATGTGTGCATAATACAGCATCAGTAACTGGTTTTTATTAGGAGCTGATGTGATGTTATTAAACGTCAGCGAATTTTGCTTGTCCACAACTCGTTTGCAAGCTAACACATCAGTCATCCAAGTAAAGTACAGGTAATGGACATACAGGGTGTTTCAGTTTATTGTTGCATAACTTTAAGATTCGATAGAACTTTTAAAATTAATGCATAAAGTCTATATAAACATGGGTCGAAAAATGCGTGGCTTCCGAAATACAGGGTGTTTAAATTTACTTTCTAAAACAGTTTTTTTAAATATTTCGAACAATATTTGATATATAATAGTGAAAATTGGTATACAAGAGTTTTTTGGCACGACAAAACGAACCATGGGCATAGTTTTACTGTGGCCGCTAGAGGGCGCTCTCTACTGTACCTGTAGTGTATTAAAATGACCGACAAAATTTTCTTAGCGCAATTTTTTGCTTTTTGAATAAAAAAACTGATTCTTCGCACTTTTCAACATAAAAAAGCTCTCTTGTGAATTTTCGTTATAGTTAGCCTTTTTTGAGATATTTCGATTTTTAGGGTTCGATGCATTTTTAATTATTTATGATAAAATAACGTTAAAAAGTCAGTATCTCGATAATTTTTAGCAGGCTGTGCCTGCAAATATTTTTGAAATTGAAAGCAGAATAAGGTTAAACTTCAATTAGTTGACAGTTAGTTTTGTTGTCTGTTGAAACCTGAAACGTTTTTTTGCAATTGTGAATGCACGAAACTTAGTTTCTTTTACCTGTTTTTTTTGTAAGTTTTATAAAAATGCCATTTTTATTTTCCAATCAAGAGTTAGCGGATATTCATTTTGTGTATGGCTTTGTAAATGGAAACGCAGCAGAAGCAGCCAGAGAATACGCACGAAGATTTCCAAACAGACGACATCCAACTCGCTCAGTATTTGTAAGAGTGCATCGCCAAATAATTGAAAATGGTTATGGAAATCTCCAAAGGGATCAAAACATAAATGTTCGTCAGCGCAGATTTACCCGTATGATTCTGCGTGAGTTTGATAGAGATCCGACCACAAGTGTTAGGAGAGTTTCTGGTGCCTTGGAAATTTCAGCAAGCCATGTTCAACGTGTTCTTAGAAATGACCATAGACGTCCTTACCATTTGCAACCTGTACAAGGACTACAGCCACATTTTGTCAGTGGATTCTTGTTAGAACTGATAATAATAGGGAGTTTTTAAGTAACGTTTTCTGGACCGATGAGTCATGCTTCACTATACGTGGATTGGTAAATTTTCATAATCAACATATTTGATCGCATGAAAATCCGCATGCAGTTCGCGAAAGAAATTTTCAGCATGAATTTAGTGTGAACATGTGGATTGGTATCTACCGCAATCGACTATTTGGACCCTACCTTTGGCCTGCAAGGTGGAATTTTTAAAGGCTGAACATGCAAATATGTGGGATGATGTTATGTTAGATTTAAGAAGATTGGCCTGGTTCCAGCTTGATGGTTGTCCAGCTCATTATTCGAGAATAGTTAGAAACTGGCTGGACGAAAATTATCCAGAAAGATGGATCGGCAGCGGAGGACCAGTCGCCTGGCCTCCACGATCCCCTGACCTAAATCCATTAGATTTCTTTGTGTGGGAATTTCTAAAAGAAAAAGTGTACCAGACTCCCGTAACCACGAGAGATATGCTAATAGACAGAATCAGGAATGCATGTGATGAAATAAGGCCTTATTTGAATAATGCGTTCGATCATTCGTAGATGTAAATTGTGTATTGAACAATTGGGTTTACATTTCGAGCAACTACTTTAGATTTTGTATGTTTGTCCTGACTATCCAACAGCATTTTAGTTGTAAATAATTAATTTAATTTGTTAAAAATAATATTGGAAAATTAAACAAATTAATATTCTGTTTTTTTGTGTTTATTTGGAGTTAGGAATTATTGCTGTGTTTAAAAACACAATATAAACGATCATCTTAATTACTTGTAATGCCTAAATCGAAAATGTAAAAAAAATATTATTTTCCCATAAATATTTAAAAATGCATCGAACCTTAAAAATCTAAATATCTCAATCAAGGCTAACTATAACGAAAACTCACAGGACAGCTTTTTTATGTTGAAAAGTGCGAAGAATCATTTTTTTTATTCAAAAAGCAAAAAATTGCACTAAGAAAAAATTTTCGGTCATTTTAATACACTACAGTAGAGAGCGCCCTCTAGCGACTACAGTAAAACTATGCCCATGGTTAGTTTTTTCGTACCAAAAAACCCTTGTGTACCAATTTTCACTGTTATACATCAAATACTGTTCGAATTATTTAAAAAAACTATTTTAGAAAGCAAATTTAAACACCCTGTATTTCGGAAGCCACGCATTTTTCGACCCATGTTTATATAGACTTTATGCATTAATTTTAAAAGTTCTATCGAATCTTAAAGTTATACAACAATAAACTGAAGCATCTTGTATATTGTCACCGATTTTGTATGTATGTCTCTATTCAGGGTAAGCAGTCCCACCTTATTCATATCTAGCTAACTTCGATAATAATAAGTCGTGGTGGACACTCTCCTGTCTCAATATATTTGACTAGATTATCGTAAAAAAAAGCAACACGGTAGTTGTCGAATTTTCATTGCGAAGACCATGCTGATTTTTGGACAATATATAGTTACTCTTCAAATCCAACCTATCGAGGAAAAATTACTCGGATATTTTCGAAAAACACCTTGGCATTGTCTGGTCAATAATTATTAACCTTAGAAGTATCCCTTTTTATAACAAAAGAGTGGGTTGTAAAGCTAAGTTCTTTTCTGTGCTGCTTCACTCCATTTTTAAATGGATGCTCCTATTTAGAATGCCTAGGTTAGAGTTAGCGTCTACACGATGGCAGAGACCACTATTATGAAATGCTGTGAAGCGCTTCCGCGTTGGGATGCATGGCAAACAGCTGAGAGGTTTTGGTGATTATGCCGCTTGTGGAGAATCATACTCGTCGGAAAGGCTAATCGAACGAATATATTGGGCTTTTCTGCTCGACAGAGGCTAGAAGAACATTTCATCTGTCTGAAAAAAATAGCAGAAAAAGTAACTAAGATCTGCCAAAATCCGTCATAGGTCATAAAGTAATATCCCAACTAACAATTATCACTCCTATTAGAGTTGCAAGAATGATTATACAGTATTCCTTAAACAGCATTGTATACTGTAAGAACATTGGAAAAACCCTTTTAGAACAGCTATACAAGCGGAATGGGCACCCCTAATAGGTCACTTCAGTCATTTAAGAGGTTGTATAAGGGCTGAAGGTAACAGTTATAAAACAAAAGTGTAAGCCTCTTGCAGCCGCTATAGGACATTTGCGTCAGTGGAAGATTCAGTTTTTGTCAACTATACAACTATTCTGTTACGTGATTCTACTTTATTGCAACCAAACTATTTCTTATGTATTGTATAGACGAAGTGAAGAATATATAACTAACACATTACAGTCATATTGTTTACTTACATATCGGCCATTGTGAATTTCATACACAGGTATATGATAAACTTCTACTCTTTGATATAGGGCTATTGAATTACTTGCGCAGCAAATTTTATTGTGATTATCATGCAAATTAGTTACCCAATTTCTACGGGCTTCGTATTTGATTCATATTTTGACAATGATCAAAAGTATGTCTAGATTTTTAAGATGGAAAACTGAACTTATCTGCGTTAAATCTTCCACAAATCCTATATTTAGACACAATTACACTAATGTTTATCACTTTATATCTGTAATTGCGAACTGAAACATAATTATTTAATATTAAATAGAGGAATAAATGTTTGCCCAATATGGCGGGTGGTTGTGTACAATCATGGCATCGTCCATGTTGTCTTTAGGTTATTAGAATATTTTGGTTTTGCCTGCAGGTGTTATACAACAATTTGACAGATGTTTGAAATGAAATACCGACAGAGTCGAATGATTTACCCAGAATTTGTACCAGATCTATATCTTCTGTTTGAACAGTTGATAAAACCTTTTTAACCAATATGCATGCGTTGTTTGTCTTAAAACATTATGCCATTTTAACAAAAATATGACAGCAGAAAGTTAGGTTATGGTGAAGTTGTTTACCAACATATTTAGCATAATATGTACAGCCTTTAACAGTTACTAAACAACAGTTGTATAAGTGCTTCCATTGGGAGCAAATTGTTGGCTAAGGTAGTAAATTGCACAGCAAAACAACAAGGCTCGGGTTTGTTTTATAAACGTTACCATGGATGCCACAACACAAACATTTTAACTAACTTGCAAATATGCCGTATAAAATAGTTGTATAAACGTTTATGCAACAGCTAAAAATTTGCCCTATAAGGTGTTGTATAACTATAAGAATATTTTAAACACCTCATTTTAGAGCAAATATGTTGCAGAAAGCAAATTTGCATTCCACACAACATTAGGCAAGCATTTTGGTGTTCAGGCAACAACAATAGAGAGCTTTTATGGCTGAACGGTTCTTTTACCAAAAGCTTATACCACTACTTTGCTAGTTGGGATTGTACGATAAAAATAAATAATTGTTTAAAAAAACATTTATAGCTAATCGAGCTAAAAGTAGAAAATAATTTTTAATTACGAAGAGCTTATATTACAGTTGTAGATGGTCGAACAATCAATCATAACTAATAACCTCAAAATAAAATTATAATAAAATTTATGTTATTAACAGAATAAAATGCGCCCTACTCGTAGTAAGAATAGGAGATCCGTTCACATACTGATTTGCCATATTACGTTAACTATAAGGAGGAGCAATACGTCACTTCGTCATATTATATATATATACACTTTATGCTCAAAGATTCCGTTACATAGATACGTACACCGAAGACGGTCTAAAAAGCATGATTGATACTGGAAGGTAATGTCCGAGCAATAAATTATAGATAAAAGGTACCGCATTCTATAGAGGCGCGTGGCTTGGTTGTCTCCAGTGGCGGTGGGCTACTGCTGTTGATCAGGTGTAGGCTTAATTAAATTCCCAATATGGTGTGATTTTCAAAGCAGATTACGTCTTTATTTGTAATATATCTCCAGGCTTGTGAAAAGCAAAATATTTCTTTCAAATTTCAACATTCAGGGAGAAGCAGGTTGTTTGATTAATTCTGATATGGTTGGTTGGATGTTTGATATTGAATAGACAAAAGCCGCAAGTGCTAGGCTACAGAACATAGTTACGTTTGTAAACTGAACATTCTCATCTAAAATATAAATATGAAAAACGCTTAGTTTACGAAATTAGCGCTGGCTATTTATCCTGGTTGCAACTAATTTCATTAGCTCTGAAAAGTATTTCACCAGTATTTAGTTTAACCACTTTCTGTGTCTATACAGAACTGCATTCTGGTCTACAAGCTTCTTACTTTGTAGACATACTGGTAAGTTCAGCCACTTTAGACAGTAACCAAATATATAGAATTTTTGCTTTTCCGGAAATCTTCCCAATGCTAATACAAACAATTATGATCAGTTATGATTTGTTAATTTTATTCATATGTCACATCCTAGTTTAGTCCGATGACGGAAATTTGAAATGTGCCCATAAAAATATCATTGGGATTGCACCCAGCTAGCGGCGGCGACGACGTAAATAAGAAATGAATAAGTCCTTCTTGATTCAATTTACAAATTAAAGCATTAATCTAAGAAACTATCATGTTTTTAGTCATAAAATATTACCAGATATTTGAGAAACAAAATAGTATTTTAAATTTCAATAGGTATTAAGACTAATCCATGTAATTTTTTCTTACGAATGTGGAAGAGGAACAACCAGCGGGTTCGCCTATGCGGCGCGGCACCTCAAAGACCAAAGCTGTATTTTGTGTTCTTGGCTCGCAATGAAATTGACAGTAGCTAGAAAAAAAGTCATATTTTTCTATTTAACTCTTACGTTTAGTGGATTTAGCGTGGATAATCACTTGTTGTTTGAGTGTTCTGGAGAGCAATAGTGTTGTAGAAGAAAGAAAATGTCTCGACTACAAACAACCCCGCGTGAGAGACGAATGATCATAAAATGTTATGAGACGGGTGTATCCAGTGCGCAGATAGCAGATCAGTTTGATATGTCGGTGAATTATACAGTCTTTTTGATCATAGTACACTTTCAGTGTATAGTATAGAAACATTGTATGTATACTGGAAATCTATTTTGAATAACAATATGTATTTTTTTCAGAATGCCACGTGGCCCGTATTAGATTTTTGTAAGAATGCTTTTGTTTATTTGTTACTTTTGTTTATGGATTTATACAGAAACTGTTTTTTTTTTGAGAATTCTAGATTGATTTATTACTTGTTTGTATTTTAAAGGATACTATTTTTATTTTAATTGCATTTAATTAACTGTTTTATTTCATTATTTTATACTATATTATATATACTCCATACTCATTTGAATTTTAATTCAACCACTTATTATAACAATAAGCTGATAGATTATAATTTATTGTTGGCCCAACCTACGTTTTTGGCTTGAACGCAAAATATTTGACCGACCTACCATAGAAAAACTCATCTCTCAATCTCTGTTTGGGGACCAGTTATTGAACAGACCATCGGCAATGAGTAATCAGGGGAGCAGAAACACTTCGTTCTGCGATCTGCCTTTATGTAGAGCGTCCCTCTTTTTTTCCTGTATAATCTATTGCCGGTTTATTTCTTTCATCTCCTTTACGGCCGTTTGAGTAAAACCTGAATATACACGGTCATGATTACCGAAAGGACATGCGATAAACAGGTTACAATAACAATGAGAGTTTTGAGCGTAGCAACTAGAATTCTTAGACAAATTTTACATGGAGTACCCTTCAAAACACTTTAAGGAGTGTGTATGTTTCGTATTTTCAAGTGCTGAGTTCTGAAGATTTAAAAATAGGAAAATTGATATATCATTATCTTAAAAATCGCCGCAAATCCTTCCACTCCCAAATCTTCCGTTGGTAATAAAGGAATCATCAACTTGAGCATTTTATAGACAAATTACCTATGAGTGAAAGACGAGAGGTAAGAAATCAAAGGCCCTAGAATGAAGCTTCTCAAACGCTGGGAGATTTAAGGTACGAATTCGCGTCGTGTATCGGCAAAGTGTGGGTAGAGACGGTTGATTATGATTTGTTCACCAACATATTCATACAGATCATATTGTGACGGAATCATGAATCTGAATATCCATAATAGTTAGTTAACCAGGCTGCTAAGCATATTATTAGCGTGTATGTCCAGCTTTATATCCACCCTTCAACTGGATAGATACACCCACACACATGCCGGTATGCAATAGGTTTTTTTAGTTTATGATTTACTGCCTGGAGGCGACCAAGATATCCAAATAAAGGGAAGAAAGGTTACAGGCGGATGGTTCACCTGAATGCGTTCCCTACTTTTAATTTTATTGATTTCAACAGAGTAATGCGTAGTTTGGCATGTCATAAAGTAATTGAGTTTATACAGGGTAATGCATATTATTATTTTTTCTGTCTAGACGATATATGATAAATAGCATTTTCTGGAAAATAGGCTTGAAAAATAGTGCTTTAGCCTTCCAACCATTGGCGATAACCCAGCTGTCGTTCTGGTTTCCTTGACATTGTGCAATATCAGTAACTACTATACTGATTCTAACGGAGTTGGAATGGGTTGTTGTTCGGTCACAAGTTTGAAACTTAGTAACCAGAAAAAAAGCAGATTTTCCAAACTGTGTGCTTACATCCTAAAAGCTTTTTCAGTGTAGATGAAAACAATTAATTTATTTTTTGAATGTTCGTATTTATTTTTACTCATGAACAAATACATTTTGGGAAAATCTATTTATGGGATGTTATACATGAAATTTGAGGCCACATTTCTGAAATATTGGCCATTATACAGAGTCCCCCAATTTCGACCTACATATCATAGTTGTGATTTTTCAAATGGAATGCCTCAAATTTTATTGCAGATTTGGATAAACCAATTCAGGGAAGAAAATTTATATACATACTATGGGGTTTTGGTAATCAGCTACTGAGGTATAAGGTTTTCTGTCTAGAAAACCCCTCAATTTGGCTTCCCCTCAGTCCGCCATTTTGAAATTTTGAGTGCTGAATTTTGTATCAAAAAAACTTATACACATCAGCTTTTATCTTATTTGTTACTTTTTCGAATCTTAATTTTTGCTCATACAGGGTGGTCAAAAACGCAAATTGTAGTATTTCTCAAAAATTTCAAATCCATCACCCTGTATATTTGTGCAGGTGTGGATTCAATTTTTTTATAAACTTTTTTTTGGTTTAAGGTTTGATTCAGATAAAATCATTAGATTTTGAGTTATTATGCTTTTAATATATCAATAGAGCAACACCCCAAAATTAAGGAAAAAATCAAACATCATCCATGGAAACAAAAGACAAACAGTGGACTAGTTACATATTGCCACTAAGAGTACAGATTTGATTTTTGAGGCTACCAACCTGCAAACTCGGTTGCATATGTACTTCTTTATCTTACTATTATTATAATCGTATGCGTAACTATTTGGACACCTGGAGTAACAATTGTTGGCTCGGTAGTGATGGGCCTATGTCTTGGCCTCCTAGATCACCAGATATGACACCGATGAACTTCTTTCTATGGGGCTACTTTAAGCAAGAGGTTTATAGATATCCACCATGTACCCCGGAAAATATGAAGAAAATGATTAAGGATGCTTTTATGAACATAAGGGCACACATGCTGAGGAATATGCAACGGCCAGTTATCCAAAGACTACGGCTGGGTATTCAACATGGTGGATATATTTTCGAACAGTTTTTGTAGATTAGGTCTTGAGTAGTGATAGCTGTTTGTTTAGGTTGTTGTTATAATTGTTTTTCTCTATTACGCTTGAAGCTGATTTATACTGTTCTGATTGCTATTAGTTTTTACCTCAAATCTGTACTCTTAGTGGCAATATGGAACCAGCCCACTATTTGTCTTTTGTTTCTATGGATAATGTGACTTTTTTCCTTAATTTTGGTGTGTTGTTCAATTGAAAGCTTAATAACTCACAATCTAGAGATTTTATCTGAATCAAACCTTATATAAAAAAAAGCTTATAGAAAATTGAATCCACACTTGCACAAATATACAGGGTGATGCATTTGAAATCTTTGAGAGAAAAAGTACAATTCGCGTTTTTGACCACCCTGTATGAGAAAAAATGAAAATTCGAACAAGTAATAAATAAGATAAAGCTGAGGTGCGTGAGTTTTTTGATACAAAATTCAGTACTCCAAATTTCAAAATGGCGGATTGAGGGGTTGCCGAATTGGACGGTTGTTTTGGACAAAACACCTTACATCTCAGTGGCTAATTACCAAAACTCCATACTATGTTATACCAATCTTCTTCTTTTGAATTGGTTTATCCAAGTATGTCATAAAATATGAAGCATTCCATTTAAAAAATCACAACTTTGATATGTAGGTGAAAATTGGGATACCCTGTAGAATTGCCAGTATTTTAGAAATGTGCCCTCAAATGTCATGTATAACATGCCATGAATGGATTTTCTCAAAATGTATTTGTTCATGAGTAATATTCCGTCCACAGATGGATGGGCCACCATGTATGTATGTACAAAAATTAGCCATCGAAGTTGCACATACCTCCTTGTGACAAAGACCTCAATTCAAAAAATTTTACATGAAGGATTAGTAGTAAGAAAATTAGTTTCTCGTTGGATACCCCACCTGTTGACTGACGAGCAGAAAGCAGCCAGGGTTACTTGGTGTCAAAAAACGCTTGACCGTTTAAATTCCGGAAACTCAAAAAATGTGTACAGCATTGTTAGTGGTGATGAATCGTGGATTTACTGTTAAGAACCAGAAAATAAACGACAGTCGGCGGTTTGGGTGTTCCAAGGTGAAGAAAAGCAAACCAAAGTCATCCGTTCCCGAAGTGTTTCGAAAAAGATGGTCGCGACACTTGTGTCAAAAGCGGGTCATATTGCAACAATTCCTCTTAACGAGCAAAGAACTGTTACTGCGGATTGGTATACCACCATTTGTTTGCCAAAAGTCATCACCGAGCTTCGAAAAATCAACCTCGAAAGAAGATCATCCTCCACCAAAGACAAGACAGTATTTAACGGAAGAAAACGTGGAATTATTGGACCATCCTCCATATAGTCCCGATCTAAGTCCTAACGATTTCTTTACTTTCCCGAAAATTAAAAACAGACTGCGTGGTCAAAGGTTCCAGTCACCAGAAGAAGCAGTTGACGCATTCAAAGATGCCGTTTTGGATCTGCCAGCAAACGAGTGGAATAAGTGCTTCGAAAATAGGTTCGAGCGCATGCAGATGTGTATTAATCTTCGCGGAGAATACTTCGAAAAACAATAAAGTCATTTAAAACTACCTACCGTGTTGTTTTATTTCCATATGCAAAAGTTAAAAGTCATCCCTCGTATACACCTAAATAAGTCTACTGCCCAACTTTTGTTTCTTACACCCTTGCCCTTCAGTAGCTTACCATTGTATATCACTATATTTCATAAAACATTGACACAGTATTAGCTAGAGTATACGATTTGAACTAGTTTCTTATAAATCCGCATTCGGGAACAGATAAGTCATTTTTCAATCACGTATCGGTTGGGTCACGGTTATTGTAACGAAAAAGTAGCAACAATGTTATCTCTCGATGTTTTTTTCATACTCTAGGACTTAAAGTCATATACAGTACTTTCCAAAAGGGGTTTTGAAATTTGAAACCGTTACCTTTACACAAAAATATAGTATTCATGCATCAATTTCATCAAACCGAATTTCAGCTCCCTAGTTGACCAGTTCAAACATAAACTTGTGGTGAGCACCTTTTTGAAAAGCACCGCATAACCTACTTCATAGCTTCAAGCAGAAAGTCTGAAACTTTTACACCGTTAGTAACAAGCTAATCGACTTGCACAGGAACACGGAGCTGGTTAAAGTAAAAATTGAGCAAGATAAGATTAGATAGCGGTGGAGGATTTCTAACAACAATAAAGGAAGAAATTACAAAACTGACATTAATAACTATTTAAAACAAGCATTCTCAAATATATCTAACACATAACATCTCCGAAGTTTTCGTAACTTTGTAGCAAATTAATCAACGTTCTGGGGATTCTCACAAAATCAAGCATCAGTACTGATTTTTTGGAAACTCTATAGGCACGACATAAATCTCTCCCGATACTTACCTGACAGGCGTGAGTTTCTCTTTGGTGCACAGATAACCACAGCTGAATGTTTTGTAGCATTGGTTATTTTTATTACAAATGGGTAGAATGCAGCACTGTCTATCACCTGCCTCACTTTTGATCACTAGTGTAGCAACGATCAAGAGAATTAGAACAATCGGCTTCATATCTTTAAATTGTTTTGATTCGTTTGACTGTTACGCAGAACTAACACTGCAATAAGTCTGCATGCCATAGCATTCATGGCAAGGCTGACTCATCAACAGAAATTTTAAATTTTGCAGAAGTTAGCGCTTCAGTATAAGTTATACAGGGGGCAATGTTCCAATCTGTTCAAAATATTCACTTCATGCTTTATCTTCTTCAAATTCATACAAATCTTACAATTCAGACCCCACCACAAAACACTGGAGTTGACATGGGTGAATAGGATGTTGTTTCATGCTTTTTAGCAATAAGCAGTACGGTATAGGTCGAGTCATCGGAGACAAAAAGCGAACGAACGGATATGAGTCTACCGAGAGAGTCAGCATGAGGTGCGCGAAGGATGTACCTGCCACCAATGGGTAGTTCGACAAATATGGTACTACCTACTATAGCTGGGGCAAACATTTCCTTTTGGTTATCCGATTCCATGGTTTCGAGTCCCGCTTTGGAATCCGATTTTGATTCCGGCCCTGGAACTGATTCCTTCGATACGTTCGGAATAGAATATTTTGATTCCTTTGCGATATTTTTACCGGCCTTGGAACCGATCTCTTCGCTATGTTCACGATTCCGATTCTGGCTTCGGAATTGAATTCTTCAATATTCGTTTGCGATTTTGATTCCGGCGTTGACATCGGCTCCTTTGATTCGTTTGCGATTTTGATTTTGACTCTGGAATCGATTCCTTAGATACGTACACGATTCCGATCCCGGCATCGGAACCGAATCCTTCGATTCGTCTATGATTCTCACTTTGACCTTCGATTCGATTTCTTCGAAATGTTTATGATTCCAGTTCCTGCCTCCGAATCGATCCACCGATTTGTTTGCGATTTTGATTCCGGCACTGGAACTGATTCCGTCGATATGTTCACGATTGCGATTCCGGTCGCCGAATTGGATCGTCCGATTCGTTTGCGATAAAATTTCGCACTTGATTCCTTTGATATGATTCTAAATTTGGCCTCGGAACCGGATCCTCAGGTAAGTTTGAGATTCCGATTCCGGCCTCTTTGATTCGTTTCCGATTTTGATTCCGGCATTGAAATCGATTCCTCCGATACGTACACGATTCCGATTCTGGCCTCGGAATCGAATCCTTGATATGTCTCCGATTTTGATTTCGACCTTGGATTCGATTCCTGCGATATGTACAGGATTCCAATTCCTGCCTCCAAATGGAATTCTCCGATTCATTTGCGATTTGATTCCGCCTTAGTGATCGATTCCTGCGATACGTTTATGATTCCAATATTTGCCTCCAAATCCGATTCTCCGATTCGTTCTTTAATCGATTCCGGCATTGTAACCGATTCCTTCCATACGTACATGATTCCGATTCTGATCTCGGAATCGAATCCTTCGATTCGTCTATGATTCTCGTTTCGACCTTCCATTCGATTCCTTTGATATGGTTATGATTCCAATTCGTGCCTCCGAATCGATCCATCTACAGTATATTCAGATAAGAGATAGACCGGATGTAAACAAAAGGTTCGGGTGATTTTCACGCTAACGCCGCCGTCTCGACGTAAAACAGGAGCCCTCATTGGTCAATTCGCAATTAAATGCCTATGCCGAGCGGCAGAGCAGTCGTATCAAGGCAGAGTCACATTCAGGTTCAGACGTGTTACGTATGTCGTGTGCATCATTGCAATTTGATATTTCTTTGGACGTTTTCGTTTGTTATCTTATTAAGTTGTTGAGTTTGTCGTTGTTATTGTTATACCTTGTTATTGATTGTTATTGTTATCAACTGCTTGCGCAAAATCCCCAGTAGTACAGATACTGCCGATGAAGTTGTAAACTCCTGTAGTCCACCTAGGAAACGCTCTAAAAAAAGACACCTGAGTGCAGAAATGAAAGAGGTCATTTTGAATATATATAAGATCGAGCGCGAGAAGAACGAGGCATCAACTATCAAAGAAATTGTTGTGAAGGTTTCTCACAAAGTTGGGGTGTGTCGCGCATCAGTTTTTAATGTGTTAAGACAATACAAAAAAAATCACACCTTTTCTGAGCCAATGACCAGTAAACATCGCAAAAGTATTGTTAAATCATTGGATGAAGCTGATAAGCATGCGATTAGGAGGAAAGTGCATGAATTCTTTTTTAGGAATGAAATACCTACTATAGATAAAGTACTGCAGGAGGTAAATGGAGATACAACGTTGCCAAATTTCAAACGATCAACTTTCTATGCGTTACTGAAGCATTTAAATTTCAAATGGAAAAAACGGGGTCGTAATAGTTTACTACTGGATAGAGAAGAAATTGTGCTATGGAGGAGGGATTATTTAACAAAAATTGGGAAATATAGAAATCAAAACAGGAAGATTTATTACCTTGATGAAACGTGGGTAAACGCAGGACACACTACAAGTAAAGTATGGGTTGATGATTCTGTAACTTCATCCAGGAGGGCCTTTCTAGATGAACTGTCCACCGGATTAAAAAATCCAGCAAGTAACAAAACTTTTATAACTTTCGATAAAATGCGTGGATGTTTTATTGTCATTTTCATTTGTTAGAACTTTTTTAAGCCATGTTTTTATGTGTTTCCGATATTTCAATAATTTTTTAATATAATCTTAAAATATGTCGAATATTATAAACTTAAAAAAAGTTACTAAGTTTTATATTGTGTACCGTTCCTAATATTTCTAATCATTTTAATTCATACTTTAAGCTTTATAAAGTTATAATTTGTTAATATTAATATTTGCGCGTATTTCAGGTTCCTGATCATTCATTTTTTAAAGGTTTATAACTTTAAATTAAATTGTGAAGCGCTGAGTAATCATACGACGTTCAATATTCTTTTTTTCAATATGACTAAATAATCCCAGTTATAGCAATCTGATACTCATGTCTCAATGTTTTTTCGCTGAATGTGATGAAAACATTTGAAAAAGGTTCGCTTATTGAAATAAATCTAAACCAGTTAGTACTCCGATTTCCAGGTAAAGGGAAAAGGCTCATTATCTGCCATATTGGCAGTGAGGATGGATTTGTTGTTCACGATCTGTGGTGCTTTGAGTCTAAGAAAACTGGAGATTACCACGAGGAAATGAATGGCGAATCGTTTGAACAGTGGTTTTCAAAAATTTTACCGAACTTAGAGGAAAACGCAGTAATTGTGTTGGATAATGCGCCTTATCATTCTCGAAGAATGGAGAAGGTCCCAACAACGGCTTCAAGGAAAGTTGATGTTCAAAATTGGCTCCGCTCGAAAAATATCAACTTTGAAGAAGCAATGCTGAAAGTACAATTATTAAGAATTGTCAAGGATCACAAGGCGGAATATCAAAAATACGCCATTGACGAAATGGCAGCAAGTCAAAATAAAACTGTGCTCCGTTTACCTCCATACCATTGCGAGCTCAATCCCATTGAGCTCATATGGGCAGAGGTTAAAAATTATATAGCTAAGCACAATACAACTTTTAAATTTTGTGACCTCAAAGGACTTTTCAAAGAAGCACTCGAATTAATAACAGCGCAAAAATGGGAAAACTGTATTAAGCACGTGAAAGACAAAGTTGAAAAGAGAATGTGGGAACTGGACAATATTTTAGAGGAACAAGTCGAGCCATTCATTATTGACTTTGGTGCTTCAGGCAGTAGCGATGATGAAAGCTCATCAAGCTCATCTTTCCAATAAAAGATGTCGTTCATCAAATTTGGTAAGTTATAAGTAATTATAAAGCTACTGTATTTTTTAATTAATTATTGACATTTTTGAACCCATTTTGGCAAAACCTATTCAAGAATCTACTTTCTGACAATGTTCAACCATGCACATTTTTTTACGTTTTGAACGTTTTAATTTGGTTACATATTTACCTAGAAATCAAAAAATATACTAATCAATATTCTAAAAGCTATTTTGAGAGATATACGATTATTTTTAATTTAGGCTAATTTAAACGCCATTTTGAGATTATATTCGACTGTATTTCACCAAACATCAGGCGGCATCCGAAGCTGGAAATCGAAGCGAAAATTTTGAAACCCTTATGTATATTTACATCATTATATATTTCTTACCCCACCCCCACATGATCCTATATCCATCGTATACACATCGAATTGTGCTAATTTACTACAAAGTTACGCAAAGCAGCATCTACTATCTAAAATATGTACTGCGTGACTCTTAATACGTCCCTGCCGAATGTTACAGCGTTCGATG